ATGATAAAATATAAATAAAAATTAATTTGATATATACTTAAAAAAATATCAATAAATAATTTTTAAAAAATATATATGATTTTGTCATAAGGCTAAGTTTGTAACTTTATATAAAATAAAAAATTAAAACCTAATAAATTAGAAGTATTAAAAATAAAATAGTTAATATAATTTCAAAAATATGAATACTAATTTTATTTTTTTATCATATTAATTATTATTGTTTGCAAGAGTATTTTTGTCATTTACATATTATATACACATACTTTTATTTTACTTATCTAAATATATATATAACAGAATTCATTATTTCTTTTTTAAATTGAAATTATTTACTCAATAATTTTTTTTAAAAATTATATTAAATTAATAATTTCTTATCAATTTATAAAATTTAAAACATTTTAAAAAATAGTTTGAAAAAATGTAATTATTTTACAAAGGGAAATTATATATATATATATATATATATATATATATATATATATATATATATATTATATATATATATATATATATATATATATATATATATATATATATATATATATATATATATATATATATATATATATATATATATATATATATATATATATATATATATATATATATATATATATATATATATATATATATATATATATATATATATATATATATATATATATATATATATATATATAAGTGTGTGTTTTTTATTATATTTGGATTCCTATATGAATCAAAGAGATGATAGAATAAATTTTATTATGTTTATATGATTTTATATCCATATTCTTCTTTATATTATATCATGTATCTATCATATCATATCATGAGCAACAAACAAATTCTAAAAATTTAGTCCATCTCAAAAGAGGATATCTGATGGAGTTGAAACCCAGAAACAAATATTATTTTTTAAAAGTGCTTTTTCTTAATACAAGACATCCTAAATTTAATTCATTTTATATGCTGATTAAAATAATTAATTATTTATATTTTTATTTGTTAATTTTATTTAAAAATTCAAATTTATCTTCAATATTCCTTTAATCACATTTAACATAACTTTATTGTAAAATTATTAATTGTGAATGACATCTTTAGTAAAATATCATTAATTATAGTAAAAATAATCAATTTTTAAATACTAAATTACCAAAAAAAGGAGAAAAAAATCAAATAACAAATACTTAAAAAAAAATTTAATTGCATTTAAACTATGCAATTCTAATAGATATTTTATTCAATTGTATATTACCTTCTATAATTAATAAATTAAATATTAAAAATACAAAAATATTTTAAAAATATAATAATTAAATAAAAAATAGAAGATGCAATTACATTTAATAAGTCACATATATTTATATATTTGGTTAAATCACATTTTTTGTTTTGTTCTAGTAAGATACTTACTGCACAAAAGGGTAGCCGTCCGTGGCGTGAGACACTGAATTGAAAAGTCACCTAAATTCTTTCACCTATTTCACCTAAATTCCCTCTTTTACAATTATCTCATCAAATTTATCATGAAAATGACCGATAACTTTTCTTAATTCCATTTTTAACTTTAAATTTAAATTCCTGCTTGCATTCTCATTCTCCTTTTATTTTCATTTCCCTATTTCACACGTACAGCAATAGAATCCAACCACATTGCTCCCAAAATTAGCATATAACCGTCTTTCGCATCATACAAACTTCCACAGAATAATCGCTTTTTCCGTTTTTTTCACGTTTGTTCCACTTCCAGTAAAACTCGATCATCACATACACTGTTATCATCACTGACTTCAGATTTCGTTGTCAGCAATTACTCAAGTGGTGTGGTTTTGCCAGATCTTGCGGCGTTCAATTAGGGCTATTTCAGGTATGAATAGTTTGCTGATATTTGAATCGTTGTGCGGTGTTTCCTATGTGATTGGTTATGGAATGTGTTGGGATATTAATATTTTTGTTGCTAAGTTGCATATGAGTTACTTGCGGCGATTGTTAGGGGAAATGCACATGTTTGATGTTTTTCTTGATTATATGATTATAAAAATGCAACTTGTTAAAAAATTGGGTATCGGGAATGTTTTCATTCTGCAATTAAGTCAAATTGACTTATTTGATTAAATAATGTTTGAAATTTCTTCAACTCTAGTTGAATGAATCAAGACCATGGTTTTGTTGTTCTATGATAGTAATTGAAGAGTTTTTTTTATAATTTTTTTTTAATCATTTTTTAATTTTTTATATCATCCTACCACTTGAAGTGATGAAGAAAAATCCAGTTGGATTTAGGTTGACTATAATATTTATATCATATTTGCTACAATGTTGGTAAACTGATGAATTCGCGTCTTGAAGATTGTAATTGTAGCTTTATCAATGGCATCAATTCTATGTGTCTAGAGTCATTTTTGTCTCTCACAACAGTGAACACTGAATCCAATTTTGCAATAAGTGCCGGTTTGGAAACCGAGTGGTCTACTGCTGTTGGAAGTCCAGTCACTGCTACGAAGTGTAAATTTTAGGTAAACGTGTTTTCTTACCGTGTTTTTTAACAAAACCAAACGCATGTTAAATGCATATTTGAGTAAGCGTTTGTAAAGCATGATTCTGTAAAATCGATTTGGTTAAAGTTGAGTTTGGAGTGAAGCGATTCATGTTTGGATATTTTAACTTTAAAAGCAAGTTTGATGTTAGTGCAAAATTTTCAACCTAGTCAAAACATGGCTTGGAGAAAAACTATTTCTGATACGAAATAGTTAACCTACTAAAACCACGTTTTCCTGGGGAAACTCAACTTCCTCATCCCCTGCCGTTCCTCCAAACAAAGAATGTTGTATTTCTTGGGTTTGACTTAGCACTTGTTTTCAACTGTGTTGAAATTGGAGTCAAATCATGGTGACTCTAAAAGCTACTCATTGAAGCTTCAGTTCTGCTGCCTGGTGAAAAGAATGCACTGTATTTTCAAACACACTCTTAGATGGATAAAAGAGGAAGCATTTAGCTTATTAATTGATACTACATTGATATGATGTGTGGTTTAGATGCAATCATGCAGACTACTAGGACTACTAACTTCTACTACCAATGTAGGTCAAATATTATTGAAGAACAGTCAACACACAGGCAACTCAATAAGATTACTAAACAAATAGGAAAAACTAACATTTCTAATATTCTAAAGCATCCCTTTAAGTTGAAGCTTAATAATAAGCTCTCTGCATGTCATAGATAAACACGCTCAAAGAAGAATCTAAAAATAGTTTGTTTTCTTCATCATGAATAGATGCTGCAATGAGTCAACGACAACAGAGCAAATGCGACATACTAATCACTGAATAATTGTGGAAAACAATACATAAAAATGACTAGACTGGTCCATAGCCTGAAGAGTAATTCAGAATGTTGCATGGCCAAGAAAATTCGATATATATATATATATATATATATATATATATATATATATATATATATATATATATATATATATATATATATATATATATATATATATATATATATATATATATATGTTACTGAAGAGACGTTAGAAGAGACAGCAGAGGAAATGAGGCATCCTAAATGTTGAATGACTTTGGGAGAATCAACAAAATAAGATGAATGGGATGGTTCACATGAAAAAGTGTTCAGTATATTGGATGGCCAGGGATCCTGACAACAAGCATTAGGGACCCAGACGTCTATAAATCAACTAAAAAACTTCATTGGAAGCATAGTATATTAAGGAAAACCAAAAATCTTGAAATACTAAATGTAGCTTGAAATTTTGTGCAGTTGGAAAATAGTACAGCCTGAACAACGGCAGTTAGAGCCAAACAGAACCAAACAGAGAAAATACAGCCAATAGGAAAGAAACCACGACCAATGTAGGAAAGAAACCATGACCAATGTAGGAAAGGAGCCAAACAGTCGACAAACACAAAGCTGGAGCAGGGAAACTACATGTGTGGTGTGTAGACTGGGATGTTGATTTACCAAAGTAGTGTAAAATGGACAAGTAGTTTCCCTGTTTCAGCTTGGTATTCGTAGTTAATTTTTATTTGTGTAGGGATTTCGTCCTATATTGTTTATTTTATTGTATAGAATAGGACTATCTTATTTTAGGGTCCTTGGTTATGGCGGGTCTATCTGTAGACGTGCAACAGTACATATTTATATGATATTAAGATTTATTTATTTTTCATTGAGTTCCCTAAACCCTATAGGAGTACTCTCCCCTAGTCCAGTACTCTAGATTTGTTGCTCTACATAAGAAAACTCAATGAACAACCTTCTTGCTGAACATATATCTTCATCTGATGTGATGGAATCTGGGACGGAACTTTTCCACGAAGTAGTTCACCAGTTTGCAAACTTAATGTCATCTTGATCTTGAGCTTGGACATAGCCAATTATTGGGAGCTATTCGAGTATTCTGTAGTTAGCACTTAGCAGTAGCACATCGGTTATGGAGTGATCATATAAATTGTTAAAACTGAGTTAACAATGTTAAGATCAATCCAAACAATGATTTACAACAGGGGATGAAGAGGCAATAGAGGAAATGAGACATCCTATACAAGAAGGGCTGAAGTAGTGATAAGGTATTCCGAAGTAGTGACACCTTGAGTTAGGTACTATGTTGAAAGATGCAAGGCAAAATTTGCTAATTAAGCATGCAGTACAACTGTAGAAGTAGTAGAAGCCTGACACTGTGGGGCTACTAATAACACTTCTAATATATCAAGTCTTATGTTCTAATTGGGATATTTGGGAAGCACTGTATACGAAAATCTAATGGTTTTCTCACACTATGGCGTATTTTTGCCTTTTGTTATAAAAAACCATTTTCTGGTTCCATTTTAACATGTTTAGTTCTTTGTATTTTCAGTAGGGCTTGTTTTCTTGTTACAACCATCTTTTGCGTCTTGTATGGAGGATACATCCCACTTCCTAAATAGTGAAGAATAGCTCCTCTGTTTAGTTTATGATCACACAATCAGGAAAGTGTGGACATAATGGGGACCAGTACTCGCAGGTCTAATATTTATAACTAACTTTTTGTTTGTTCTTTTAGAAATTTTTTATGTGCCAATTAATATTTGGTAACTGTGTTCAAATGCAATTTGTATCTTGTTTGCTGCAGTTCTACCAATAGAAAACCAAATGAAAGTATGAGGCTTGCTCTGACAACTTTTGCTGGAATACTTTTTGGTTTCTTTATAGGGATATCCTTCCCAACATTAACTACAAAGGTGCAGACTTGGAACATCTTCTTTTTGGGCATACCTTATGCTTAAATGAACTTAAAATGATTCTTTAATGATTTTGTTGAACTTAATAATAGACTCTGACGGTGCTCACGAATTTGCAGTTGAATATCTCATCTAACCTGCTTCCCTCCATTGACGTGTCTTCCATTGAAAATGATTATGAAAGTGGCAATGCTCGGTCTTTTATGAAGAATAATAGCAGCGACTCATCAAAATATCAGTTATTAAATGACACGTTGAAGGTACACTTCTGACCCTGTTATCATTGTGAAGGACATGAAAAGCTACTGGGTTCGAGAAAGTTAATATGTTCTGTCATTGAAAAGTACAAAGTTAATTGAATAATTATATAGTTGTCATTGAGTTAATTTTCAGTTATTAATCCTTAAGATTTTGAGAATCAGCTTTAAGGGTTGTAGGCATGTTGCAGTTAGGCTTTCCAGATTAAGTAGAGGCAAAATAAGCTTCTCAGGACTAATGAGGTTCTGGAGTTATTTGTTTCTGTTATTACTCTGATGCTGCTGCTGCTCTCTCACATTGTAGAAATCCATTTCAGTCATGCACTCTTGCACACATACTACTCCCATCAACCTTGCCTGCTGCTGCTACATATGTGTGTGAAATCTCGTACATGCACCACGTGCGAGTACAATCACACTATTTCAGAATCTAATAACTTGAGAAGTTTAATGCATAAAGCATAATGCTTTACGAACAGAGCTGGCTGTTTTCAATACTAATTGATAAAATTTATTATTTCTATGTAAAAAATTACTGTTGTGGCGATGTTCCCAAAGTGGAAAAGCAAAATGAAATAAAGCTAATATATAGCTATAATGTGAATCAGAAGACTTTTTTACTTCTTTTTGGTGATGGTTTTTGATAGAGCAAGAAGAGAATTAGAATATCATAGGAAACTGAAATGTAGATTATATTAAAAATCAATAGAAAATCAAGAGACTAAGCTCTCTACAATGGATACCTTTTGTCTCTGCCTTACCTCTAGGGTACTAACATAATTCTTGCTATGTTTGTTTATTTTTCTCTCCTCCCCTATATATTCCCCAAAATCCAGCTAACGGCCAGCTAGGCAGCTACCCATTCTCTCTCCTTTTCCCTTTCTTTTTCTTACGCTCGTAGACTATCCCAATTATGGGCTTGTCATGCTTCATGACCACTAAAACATTCTGTCCCGGTCTCACTATTGAGCATCCTATCAACTTTTGAGTATGATTCTGTATTTTATAATATTGGAAATATGGTTTGTTAATCCCAAATAATGACTGCTGCTTGTTTTCATTTTTGTCTGCAGATTTGGATTCCGTCAAATCCAAGAGGTGCAGAAAGATTACCTCCTGCGATAATTGAAGCTGAGTCAGACTTTTATTTGCGTAGATTGTGGGGTCAGCCTAGTGAGGTAACTATCATAAAATGACTTATGTGCTTTGAAGACATATGAAACATATTGCATAGAAAAAATGCAGTTAAATACACAGATTAAAGCCTTATTATGACAGTTACTAAAACTTGTAAAACAAGGAATCTTCCTGATTTTTAAGCATATTCTATGTTTGCTTTCATTAAACATACTTGGCTTAAAACTTAAAACCGTAAATCCAATACTGAAACAAGTTAGGAAAGAAAGAACGCAGAAAACTTGTGTGGCTTGCAACATGTTCCCTTTTGTTCAAGCTTGTGTTTATGCTCCTGGTATCTGGCTAATCTTATTCTTGCACTGGAGAGGCCTCAAATTTTATTTTATTGTAGTAGGTTATATATATACACAACATTTGATTAAGTTACCATTCACAGGATTTAACCTCAAAGCCTAAATACCTTGTGACCTTCACTGTTGGTTATGATCAGAAACATAATATTGACGCAGCCGTGAAAAAGGTTATCTCTAAGTTTCCATCTCTCTCCCATTGCCTAGACTTGTGTGTATGCCTTTAAACTATATCTGTTACATGGTGCAGTTTTCGGGGAATTTCACAATTCTTCTCTTTCATTATGATGGCCGAACAACTGAATGGGATGAGTTTGAATGGTCAAAGCAGGCTATTCACGTGAGTGTTCGCAAACAGACCAAATGGTATGAGTCCATTGCTTGAACATGATGAATATGTATGAAAATTGATTTGTTGTGACTTCTACCATCAATTTTGTTAGCCTAACTAAAAAGTAAAAACAAAAACATTTTTCCATTTCAAATTTTCAATTATGTCATGATATTAAAAATTTGATTGTTTTTCCTCCTAGGTGGTATGCTAAACGGTTTCTGCATCCTGACATTGTGGCACCATATGACTATATTTTTATGTGGGATGAAGATCTGGGTGTTGAGCATTTTAATGCAGAGGAGTGAGTAACACATTCCGAATTTAGTTTTGATATTATTGTTTCACGTTTTCACACTATCAACCGATTATATGTTAATTCTTTGTTTAACCATTTTAATTGCTGTTATGGTCAAACTTGTTAAATGATTTGTTAATATGGTGATTAGATGATAGTGTAGAGAATTTGTTTTTTAAAAGGAAAAATGGAAGTGTAAAGAATTGTTGCATTGACAGGGAATGAAAATCAAACCCATGAATAGCTAAGGTTTCATTTCTGGGTTTACTCAAAAGGTTTGATATACTCCTCTAATTTCAATTGCAGATACTTAAGACTGGTGAGGAAACATGGGTTGGAGATTTCACAGCCTGGTTTGGAACCTAATAATGGTCTGACATGGCAAATGACAAAGAGAAGAGGTGATCGTGAAGTTCACAAGTAAGAATAACAAAATTCAATCCCCGCTTTCTTCCAGTGCTTGTTATGTAAAAGAATGCATTAATCGATTATTTTTATTTTTATTAGAGAAACAGAGGAGAAACCAGGATGGTGCAGTGATCCTCATCTGCCTCCTTGTGCAGCGTAAGTATCAGTTGGCATTATTATTGTGTTATCCACTCATACCATGATGTATCTGATTGTGCTATGCATGCAGGTTTGTTGAGATTATGGCTCCAGTGTTTTCACGTGATGCATGGCGCTGTGTATGGCATATGATTCAGGTTTGAAGTCTACTCTTTTTTTTTTTTTTAATATACATTGTTAGCTGTTTAATGTTTGTTTAAACATTCAATGGTGTCCTATAATTTAATTATGATTATAACCTTGCCGGTTCTTCAGAATGACTTGGTCCATGGGTGGGGTCTTGACTTTGCCCTTAGAAAATGTGTAGAGGTGAGTCAGTTTCTTATATTTACTAATTTATCTAATTTCTATATATTGAAATTTCTATTTGTTCTTCAAACATTAATTCAAGTACCTTTGCTCTGTCATGTAGCCGGCCCATGATAAGATAGGAGTTGTTGATTCTCAGTGGATTATTCATCAAAGTATCCCCTCACTAGGGAATCAGGTAATTTGGTTTCCATGATGATTCTCGTTCGTCTTCATAAATTATACTCATATTGCAAATCTAAGACTTTTTATTTGTTTTTTTGCGCTTTGATAGGGAGAATCAACTTCTGGGCAAGCGCCATGGCAGGGGGTATGTTAAGCATGTTTCATACAGTTCATCTTGACATTCTAATCGCTCTGGGTTCTTAATCAATTATATCTATCCCCTCATGATATTTTGCATGCTTCCACGCCTCTCTACTTACATAATAATTGTCTTAATTAACCAAGAAATTTATAATGGATTAAATTATAAAAATATATGTGTTGATGGTTTCATGGTGTTGATGCTAGGTGAGGGAGAGGTGTAGAAAGGAGTGGACAATGTTCCAGAGTCGGATGGCAAGTGCAGAAAACGCATATTACAAAGCCGTGGGGATTGATTTGTTTAATTCAACTAATCCTTAGGAAACGGCGGCAACTATCGGAAGACGACTTGTACACAACCATCACCACATTATCTATGAAATTTTACACACAAATATATATGTTTTGTCACAATCCATTCACAGAGAATTGTGTTTTGGTTAGTCAAACTGTAGTAGCTAAGGAAAACAACTCGATGTAGAATTTCAGAGCTGAGAGTTAGAAAATTAAATATAGGTAAACGGGTATCCTGATTATAATGTTCTTTTAGAATCTTTTTCGTAGTTGATTTGGAACGGTATATGGATATCAGCCTAACTTCGTCAAACCACTTAAAAAAATAAAGTTCAAAGGATTCACACTTGGGTGGATGGAATGGATGGTTGTTATGGTCTCTAATTATTTTTTCCTGAGATTTTTATTTTCAATGACAAGTCAGTCAGACACCAGTTTCTTGAGTAAAACAAGTAATGTTAATTAGAAAACACTTTTAAAAAATATTATTACCGTTCCAAATTATAAGTTATTTTATAAAATTATAAGTTATTTTATAATTTTAATATAATATTAATAATTTTTTTTAATATAGTCTCTACCATTTATTTTTCTTTTTTCTTTTCATTTCTTTAATTTTATATTTTAATTAATTAATAAAGAATATTTTTATAAAATTATAGATCATTTCATTCAATAATAATTGTATTTTTTAATTCTGGTAAAATATTTAAAATATTTTATAATTTGCGACGAGGATGTCTATGTGGCTCAAGGTTTGATATTTTATAAGTACTAAGATGACTATGCTTTGGAAAGTGTGAAAAACATTGAATAGTTTGTATGCATTGAACAATTTAAGCAACTGCTTTACCGGCATTGTAAGTAATCAAGCACTCAATAAAGTTTTAAAAAGTGTCACCTGCACGCCATGAGGCTTTTTGGTCAAACCCACATTTGATTAGACAGTATTAAAGGTTGCGGTTGCTCTTCCCACTTTAGCGAAGAGTTGCCACAAATTTGAAAATGCTTTTTTTCTTTTTCAATACCCAAGTTAATTTTTGAACATCTCATACATTAAAATATTTAGTAAATGACAAACTTCTATTTTGTCAAAAATAAAAATAAAAAATAGAGAAATTAACCTTTGTTAGAAAGGTAAGTCTAAAGGTTAAGTTTGAGATTAACCATTGAACACATTTTAAATTTATAATAGAGTGTTTATGTCCTTACTATCCATTGATATTATAGAAGTTTAGGTTTCGTATTAATCTTTTGGATAATAAATGTCTTAAATAATATTTTTATTATAAATTTGATATATTTTAATAAATTTTATATAATTCAATCAAATAATTAATTAATTACAAAATACAATTAAAATATCATATATAATTCAATCAAACCATACACTTATGTAGTTAAATCAAAATATGATATACTACATCTGTTTTTTTTTATAGGAAATGACTTACTTTTTAAATTTATTGAATAATTAATGTATCTAGTCTATAAACTGATTGAATATAATGATTATTCAATGAATCTTAAAAGTGCGTTGTTTCTTATAAAAAGAAACAGAGGTAGTATTAAATTAAAATGCAAATCATACATTGTTCGCAAAATACAAATGATTAAAATACAAAGAAAATTCAACAACTAGGTATATCTCACCCTCCAATTCTTTCTCTGCCTCTTGTAGTGCAAAGGATGTTGTGTCTCAACTATTATGGCTTCAATACTGTCCCCCAAGAGTACCTTCTGAAAACTCTCACATCTTTATACTTGCTCTCCCAATATCCACATTACGTTGACAGATCGACAACACATAAATAAATGGTTTACTCTAGCTTACTCCTCCTTTAATATCTTCTAATGAGCTGACATAGGTGACTCTCCATCTACATCCAGTGTCATGTAAGGATATGACCCTCTAAAAAATCATTGAATGTAGTCGAATATAATACTCCATGATTAAGGAACCAATACACCATGTACATCGTCTAAGACCAGATGATCATGGTACTCTTAAAAAATCTCATCAACATCTTAGCAGGGGAGTGTGGAAGGAGCAACAACAATGAGGACTCTATCATAGTTGTGAAACTCACGGGTAGACTCGTAAACTCGTGCGGGTTTATGAGTGTAGGAAGCATACACAAGTAGACTCACACATATAATTATTTTTTGATAGATTCGCACAAACTTGTATAAACTCGCGAGTTTATGAGTTTTTTTTTTAATTTTGTTTTTCTTAAGCCAAAAAGTATTAAATTCTCCAAAAGATTTTATTTTATTTTATTTTCTTAAAAACATCATTTTTTTGGTTGTACGAGAATTCTAAAGTCTCTCTCCTAGTCTCTTGTTTCTACAAAGTTTCTTCTCTTCATTGACGACGTTCTCTCTCTCTCTCTCTCTCTCTCTCTCTCTCTCTCTCTCTCTCTCTCTCTCTCTCTCTCTCTCTCTCTCTCTCTCTCTCTCTCTCTCTCTCTCTCTCTCTCTCTCTCTCTCTCGCTGTGTTCACGTTTGTTGTTGTAAATCAATTATTTATTATATAAGTATTTTCTTGTATGTTTCACTTAGATGTTTCTCTTGTAAATGTGATGTACCATTGTTCAATTAGGTCCACTGATCCCAATCCCCATCTATCAATTTGACATGACAAAATGGTTTAGAAAATTTATGATTTGTGGTATAAAATATTTTTGTCTGTTTTGAAATTAATATATTGCTATAGTTCTAACATAATTGTGATTTACGAGTTATGACAAAATGCATTGCTAAGAGTTTTGAAATAATGAAAACTAGTTATAGCTTTTACCATTTAATTAGTTATTAATGATACTAATTATAAGAAACATGCGTACCGAGTGTTGTAAAATGCTAGGGTCAATGGATGATCTTGATAATACAGACATAAAAACACCTCAATTTAGAATCAATTTTGATATAAGCTAGAACATTTTGAATAGAGGCATAATTTTAAATTGTGGTTGTGAATATTGTGATTGAAAAGATTGTGGTTGCTGCGATGCGCATTGTAGTTGTTGCTACGTGAATTTTGATTAAGAAGAATTTGAAACATACCGTTAAAAAATACTTACTGATAAGATTTTTCAAAAAGAAATTGAGTTTTGGAGTTTAAATTTTGAATTTTGACGAAAATATTTGAAGAAATATTTGCTGTTATGATTTTTTTGCTTTATGTAGTAGCCAATTAAGAAGAAATTAGTAGTTTAAGTCTATAACTACATACTTTTTCTGTTTTGTTTGTTTTATTATCGATTTTTTTGTTAAGGAATTTGTTATGGACTATGAAATTGAAAATTGATGTTAATTGATGTTCTGTTATATATACTTGTGTCATATATGAGGCATTTACACATGATATTATATTTGTTTTTCATCGTCATTGCTGTTGGTGAAAAACCAAATGCTGGATATCTTGGGGAAGAATAAATGTTGGAGATCTTCATTTCATTAATCTTGAGGAAGATAAAATGTATAATATAAAAAAAAAGATTACATAAATAAAATAAACATTCAGTTATATGATTATTTAAGAACACAACCCTTACTCAAAATGATTTTACACTCTTGCAATCTATCATAGAAAAAATTTCCTAAATAAAATAAACGTTTTTTTAAGTTTCAAAATTTTCATGTCAAATGTTTCATATTGTTCAAAATGCTTTTATAACGAGGGTTTTAGTTTCACGTGGATCACTAATGATAGTGTATTGACCGTTGATACTCATCAAATGGACGAGAAATATTTTCTTAAAGGTGGTGAAGAAACTAAATAAACACACTTGTATTACTCAAAATCGAGGTAAAGTGTGTTTCTTGTTAAATAAAAAAATACAATAAAATATATTTCATCCCAAACGACGCACACCTCTCGATTGTTTTTTTAAAATCGAGGGAATTTTTTATTTATTTTAAAATTATATTGTTTACACAAAATATTAAAATAAATTGTTTAAACAAATTCAAATTTTGACAATAAATTCTGAAAAACAACAAATGTGATAAGTTATCTATTCCAACCAAGATAATTTTTTTCCACTTACAATCCATCATAAAGAGATTTAATTATCTTGAGCAAGTGTTTTCATGCAACTGCTTTCACATGAAAGAAAATAAGATGATTATATTTTTAGGAGTAAATTTCTCAACGTTGTCAACTGAAAAAAATCAATAAATTTCTCAACTTTTTCTTTAATTGACAACATATGAAGCTTATTCCAAAAATACAACAACAACAACAACACTATTATGTTGAAATTGATTGCAAAAGCAGAAAAAATATTTTATTCAAAATAGAAGAACATTAAGATTTTCTCTCTCTTGCAATTCATCCCAAAAAATGATGTGTACAAGTTTGGAGCAGCTACATATAAGTTTGATTTATGATAAAATTCGATTAACGGATGACTTTATAGTAAAATCTGATAATCTAATCCGTCGATTATTAAATATAACCAAAGATATAGATTATTAATTTAAAAATAAAAAATAAAATAAAAAAAAAGACACCACTTTTAAAGAAATACAAATATAATAACCACTAGGACATTATTAATTTGAATTCTAAGAACATTATTAATTTTTCACTAGGACGCGTGAACGCAGGGACGGATTTAAGTTAAATAAATTGGGGGCAACTGCCCCCACTCATTTAATTGTGTGTCTAATAAATGCTCAATAATTTTTATATTAATATCATAAAAGTTAGTTATTGCCCCCACTAAATATTCTCTCATTTTTTTCTTCAGCAAATAATAAATACTAATATCTATATCATTTATAATAAGTATTTTCATATAACTTTTTTAAATTTCTTATAAATTATTGTATTCATCATTTTTATTTATTTATTTAAATAAATAGAAAATTTTATAAAATTGTATAATTTTATATTATTTTTTATTGATATAGAAAAAAAATTGAAGGACAGAAACAATAATTATAATAAAATCATTATTGTTAAACAAATTAAATTTTATGTAAAATTATAGTAACAAAATTTGCCCCACTAATTAAAA